TTATCAGTGGTATGGAATAAACAAGATATCTTTTCAGGGCTTATTAAAGTTTGACGAAGTTTTATCACCTGATCAGCCATTTTCCAATGGAGCAACTACAGACCATAACCTATTAGGCAATTGCACTCAATTTCCACAGTAAAGCAGATGAGGAATTCCTCCTAGAAAGGTGTAACCATCCCTACCTTTTATATTGGATCTGCAAGAGAGCCAAAAGGAATTAAAGAGTAAACGTGAAGGCAGTGCTTACATACTGTCTTTTACACATTCAAATAACAAGGATTTCATCTTCTGAAAAGACAGATGAAACCTAAGCAGCAATGAATGTTGAGTGTAAAACTGATAAAGCACTTAAGCGACCCCTGCAACCTGCCATTCTCTCAGGAGCTAAGGTCTTCATTGTAATAGGCACAAGAGACTAAAAATGTAATATATGTGAGGAGAAGCACTGTGCTGTGTGAACAATTGATAAAGCTGAAAAACCCAGACATATTTGGGGCACACAAGCCTTTCCTCACATCTCTGACTTCTCTGGACACTTTAATAATTAATGCCACTCATTTCATCTTTACATTGAGAAATAAAGAACAGTGATACTGCTAAGCAAACCCATTTGCTGAAGAGAATAAATGTGAGAAACTACCAAAAATGAGCAAACAAGATGCCTTTTTATCACTAAATGCAGAATTTCAGAGCTAGAAAACTGAAAAGGCAAGAGCAGGTTTACATGATGTATTACCCATAGCTCTTCTGGCTGTGAACACAAATATGCCATGTCCTCTTATTCAGGTGCTGGAGCACAAGCTGAAGATTATGTGACAGAAATTTTCATGTTGGTCCTATTTTAAACTGGGTCCATTCATTTTAGTTAAGGTACAAAGGGAAAAGAGACACTCTGCCTTTGTTTTCCAGATGCAGTACAATTGCCCATATTTATCTGAGGGAAAACTTAAAGTGCACTTCTTGAAATTTGGACACCTTTAGAACCTAAAACCCGCTTCCAATATTTAACTAACTATGAATTTAATATAATGAAAATGAAAGAATCAGTTGTTATAACAATTTATTCTAGATGTGCTCAAAGTTTGGAATCTTTTCCCACGAGCTGGAATTATAGAACAATTAATCAAGTCTTCTAAAAATCAAATCTGTTACTTGTATGTGTAAATACAATTAAGGGTCCTAGTATTGTTCTGTATTCTTTAAAATAATTGGGATCACCAAGAAGAACCCTCTCCCCTCACTAGCAGCTGATGTGTTGGAGAACTGCAAATTCCTCCACTGTTTCTGCTGCTGTGACCTTCACTATTTTGTGATCTCCTAAAAACTTCTCAGTAAAGTGTGGATTCCTGGGTAGAGACTTTAAATCCAAACCAAATAAATTTGCTTTCCACATGTTGAAAGCACTGCTTTAGATATAAGGAGCAATATAAGTACCTTTGATTTACGGAACAAAACTTCATAACTCACAAAGAGTTATAAAGCAGGTTATGTTTATTGCAGTGCCAGGTGCAAGGGGGATCGCTCCTAACTCGCACACCGAGAGCCCAACAAGCTAGATATTTATTACACACAAACATACATATTCATTAGATTTCACAAGCATAGGAGGGGATTTCTCAGAAGCGGAGGAGATTACTACAACTAGTCCTACGAACTCAATAATACCATTCCCCTCCCCTCTACGCCTGTGCACTGCCATCTGGTGGTCTTGGGCGGGGGTCTTCTGGATGAAGTAAGAGGTCTTCCTCGCCATGCACTTTTCACCCTTGGCACAGTTTCCCCAGCTGGCAACCTCAAGTCTTATAGAGACTAGTTGAAACAGGTTCTTGTCAGACACTAATCTTCTTGAGGGGAAAAGGGTCCCTGATTTTGAACAATGTGTTTTGGCTACCTATTCTGAGTTATAGTTTAACCACAAGACTAGCAAGAACAAGAACACACCTGTTCCCTATACTAAGTCAATCAATACATAGTTTGAAGAAAACTCTTAACCCTTTCCTTAGTCTGTTACTATTCCTCGCATCATCTTCAAAAGAATAGCAACAAAAATATTTCCAGTGCAAGCCAAAGTGATGCTGTACGTTTATCAGACCATCAATGGTATTCTAGACTCACACCCAAAACTTAATCACAGAGAAATTATGCTTTCAGGCTGCAGAAGGCTTTGACATCTCCACGACAAAATGTCTTCTGTTTACGCTTGGCTAGCATTTCACCAGGTTGGATACACTTCTTGAGTTCATTGACTTGCATCCAGAAATGTCATTGCAAAAAAAGCTTAAGTGGATTCCTCCTACATGTGATTGACCACAAAGCTTGAGAAGTGGTTGCCTTTGCTTCCTCTTCTGCTGGCTCCAGCTAATAGCCTGCTCCCATGTGTTCAAAGACATAGGGACAAATTCTGCCTGAAGTCAGATTGGTGAATATCTATTGATTTTAATGAAGTTTTGACAAGTCAACCTGGAAGAGAACCTTCAGTGCCCTGAACACTTGAATGCATGTTGTAAACTTAATCTACACAAAATAAATAGCCTCTTAGAGACCATTATGGCTACTTAAAAGAGTAGGATTATATTTGTTTGTACAGCTAATCAGTGTTGCAGTCCCTGATAATGTTTTCTATAGGAGTGTTAATCATGATTGCTCTGATTATAAGCAATTGTTTAAAAAAAAGAAACAAAACCACGAAGCAAACAAGATAAATACTCTTCTCTGAACATGAAATGGAAAAAGACTAATGGTCATCACTCCATTGAGTGTTAATATTAATCTTAAATTTTTGAGAGACAGCTCATATGATGCTGTTTGAACAGCCTTTTTCCTTTTTCTGAAAATGACAACAAAATCTTTTCAAATAGCTGAAGTTACTATTTTGAAATGTAACACTTACTTGTAACCCACTTTTCATCTCCGGAGCGACATCATGGAACTGTGTGGATCACACCAGCAAAGCATCTGGCATTGCCCCTGATTTCTGTGATGTCCTAAAGGCATCTTTCAGGACAGGAGCCCATTACTGCCTCCGCCACCAAATACAGTGCAGCCTTCAAGGTAGCTGGATTCGATCATGCTGTTTTGACAGGCAAAGAACCTGGTGTAGGTACCTCTGTGCCCAAGGTAGCAGAGGAAGTCTTGACTAGTAGTGGGGCCTACAACCCATGAAATCCTGGTCCTGGTCCAGGGATCACAACCCTATCCAAAATCCATCTCAACACTCCAGTAGCGTGACTGCTGCAGACAAATCATTTTGTTCTTCCTCACACCAGTCCCAGTACTACAAAACCATGAATGTGTTATTAAGCAAAACTTACTTCAAGCATGTCACTGATTCAGGGCTGGCAGTGTTACAAGCACCATACCATTTATCTTCCTTGTAAGTGGGAAAAAAATCCTGGACTATTTTCTTTCCATAGAAACTACAGAACAGGAGCCAACGCAATTAACAAAAAAGCACTGGTATCATGTGGACAAAAGCAGGGCACATACTCAGCTCTTTCTTCAGCCATTCAGTCTAATAGGAATATGCCTGTCTGCAGACCACATGACTGGGGTCAAAGACTGGATTTAATATATCCACAGCCAAATTATTTCCACAAGGGAACTGTCAATTACCAGTGCAAAACAGAAAAGATGCTGATTACCCGGGCCAAACTCTGCTCTTGTTTGTGTCAGAGCAATATCCCTGATTACACTTGCTTCCATGCGACTGTGGGTTGAGTTTGGCTCTGTCTCCTCAGTTCCCTGGTTTGTTTTTGAACCACAGGAACAACGCTTTGAGACAGCTACTCGGACAATTGCTAATGGTAGGAAAATCCAGTTCTTCTGACATTAAGGCATTGTAAATACTGGAAGAAATCTGTGTTTTATGTTTATGGCGTACAATGCCTAAAGCCTTATCTCTCATTCTGTCAGTAACCAAGAACTATATATACAGATAGTGCAATTTATTATGTTCTGTACTGTGACCAAGTGCTGAAATACCTTCAGGAAATCACCAGAAAGCCTGAAAAGCTTTGCTGTCTCTTGTGACTCCAGCTCACTAAAACTATAATTGAATGAGCACAATATACTGGGTACTGCATCTTACACAGTAGACTTACAGATAAGGACACCATTTTTTTCAGCATCATTACAGAAAATATATTCGCTCTACAATTACTGCCTACACCCATGGTCATAATGTTTCTGCTTCTCTGTATTCTGCATTACAAAGCCACAAGAAGGGGACTTAAAAATAAATGTCTAGGCTCAATAAGTCTACCTCAGCTCAGGTGTAACTCCATTAAATTCCACTATGCTGCTTTCATTTGTAAGATGTTTTTGGGCCTGATAGTCCTGACATTTAAACCAGTGTCTGTTGGGGCTGAAATGAATGGAGATATGAAAAAGATTTTTAGCCCTGTATCAGCTGAGAAGTTAATGTATTTCCATTCCTGCTTCACTGAGCAGATTCTTATGAAACTTGGTATTAAAGTTGGCCCACCAAGTTCAAGAAATACAAAGAAAAACTCATTCATGTCTGGGTATGAAATATAAAGACTGGGTCCAACAGTTTATTCAAACCCATTTGATTACTGCATTTAAAACACTGAAAACAGGACCCCTGTGCCACTCATCCAACCACAGACGTTTATGGTCATTGTGATACACACCAGTACAAGCCAAACTTGCAGCAACGGCCACCATTCACACAGAGCAGGTGTTCTGCTCATTAACTGCCTCACTGGAAGCAAAACCATCTTCATCTCCAATTTTCTCCTGTTTCTGTTTTGTGGGGCCTTGATATTGGCAGATGCTTCACCCACTTTCCCCCAAGCACTGTTAAGCATTTCCACTTGCTTTGTTTCTACACAGAAACACGAATGCCATGAAACATCTTATTACATCCCAGAATCACCTCACAACCTGGGGACGCAGCAGAGAAAAGTCCTGCTGGTCACGGGACAAGACCTTGCATCACTCTGGGGAAACAAACCAAACCACCACCACCACCACCACAACAAGGCGGCCAGAAAAATCCAACCCAAAAGCCACCTGGTTGCAGACTGGGATGGGGCTCCTCCAGGACGCGGGGGTGCCGGCCTATCTCTTATCTCCCCCTGGGCCCGGGCCCGGGCCCGGTGCTGAATGCGGGAGCGGCTCCTTCCTGGCCCGCCGGAGCTCTCCGGCCTGCCGTGCCCGGTGCCAGGGACTGAGCGGAGGGCAGCCGCCACCGGGAGGAGCTCGGGCGGGGAGGGAGAGACGAGGGGAGCCAAGCGCGCAAGGGACTGCCTCGATGGGCTTGAAAAATCACTGCACCAGCGGCGGCGGGCAGGGGGGAGATGCAATCCCCGGGCTGAGCGGCCACGCCGCTCCCTCCGCCTCTGCTGCCGGCTCCGGCAGCGCCCCCGGCATTGCCCGGCCCCTCTACCCCCGAGTCCGGCTCCAAACTTTTTCCACCGCCCGCTCCCCGCCGGGTGTGAGGGAACCCCGGGCTCGGGGGTGAGCGCCAGCCGCGGAGCCCCTGCGCTGGCAGGCTGCTGGGGGGGCACCCCGGGGAGGGGACGCGGCTGGCGGGAGGCAGGCGGGGCCGGGTGGAGGCACGGCTCACAGCGGAGCCAGCCGCCACTTGCAGGGCGTTGGGTTTTCCCAACCACCCTTTCCCCTCCCCACCCGCCCATCTCCCTGCCCCCCCCACCCTCCTTCCTTCCCTCCCTCTCTCCTTCCCTCCCTCCCCTGCAGAATTAAAGTTGGGACAGTCGCGCTCCGGGGATGGGTGCGAGCCAACGCCTCTGCTGCCGGCTCGCTCTGCTCCCTCCCCAGGTCGCCCGGAGCCCGCGCCCCGCCCGCCCCCCCAGGAGGGATGCTGCTCCGGGAACTGCTGGGGCTGCTCCGCTGCTGCTGGCCCTCCCTGCTGCTGCACTGTGCCCTCCACCCGCTCTGGGGCTCCGCACAGGTAGGGCTGCCGCAGCCTGCCCGGAGCGGTGCCGGGGCCGGGCATGGGGCGGCGGGCTGAGCGCCGGCGGCACCCCCGGAAGCGCGGGGAGCGACGGGCGGTGGTCGCCCGGGGGAGCCCCGGAGCGGGCAGAGCTGTTGCTCTTCTCGGCGTGGTCTCCCCCTCGGCCGCTGCTGTGGGACGGGGCACGCGAGGGGTGGGCGGCGGGCGCCGATCCCCGGGAGCGCTGAACTCGATGTTGTCTCTCTCAGCAAGATGTAGTTGAGTTTCTTCGGCGCGCCGGCAGGCAGGAGCTCGCAAGTGCATTTTGCTGTAGGTGGCAAGATGCACAGAAAGAAGCAGTGCATGGAGCGAGGCACCGACAGGCTAATTTTGGTAATGTTTTGCCGTGGGTTTTCGTTGTTGGTTGCGAATTGAGGGTTCTCTGAGTACAGGGCTGCATCAGCTTCTGCCAACTCCGGCGCTGTGATGTTGTGTGACCTTGATTGTAATGTGGGGTGACTAGCAAGATGGACTGGGGAAAATTGGTATACGGTGAGGGAGAGCACCCATTCAGTTCGGAGAATCAGAACGTCAGCAAAGCTCAACTCAAATGCGTCACTTTGATATTTTAAAGTTTATTTATAATACATGCCTTCAGAGAAGTGACTGATGAGACAGCTAAGTGCTGTTCAAGAACAGAACAATTACAGTTTCTTTCTTGGAGAAAACACAGTGGAGACTCCATGTCTTTTACTTGCTGTTCTAAACTTGGTGACTCCCAAGAGATTAAAGAGAGATGTTGTTTGTTTCGGCATCTTGTCTCTTACCGTGAATTACAAAGAGGATTTGCGCTCCTTACAGACTAAAATGAACATACATACAACAAAACAACCTCCTTTAAACCAGTGCCACTACCATAAAGATCTTTGCCAGAGCTACCATTGTGCTGTCCTGCTCAGGATTCAGGTAGCTAAGCTTAAGTTAAAACTGTAACTTCGTTTTTAAGGGAAGGGTAGTTGTGTAAAAAGAGAGGTATTCTGCAACCTCTCTCCTGTAATCAGTCAGTCAATCAAGCAGACAACAACAAAAAAAAAAAGCATTAACATCTTTCTGCCAAACTACTCAGATGATCTAAGCCAATCTTTCAAAGAGAAGTACATCTGTAATAATTTGAGCTGCCAATGTGAAATGGCAAAGCGGGGGGGCCCAGCGTTTCCTTGCAATAATTTGGAAGTTTTGTTGTCCCATTCATCAGCTGTACTTGTGCTGTTGCTTGCTATTCTGTGGAAGGGCAATCAAGACATCTGCTCATACTCAAGTTTGTTTCCAACTGTCCCAAAACTATGATGTAGCTAAGGCTTCCACCAGCAGGTACCAGTGAGAAGGGCAGGTGTGGGGGGCTCACCGACATGTCGGCCCTCCTGAGACCAAAACTCCCTCAGTCTTTGAATCCCTCCCTTGACTCTGTCCTCCATGTGGAGTCATAATCCTTGCTCTATCTTCAGAGTCTCACAAGCTGTACTCTTTTCTACTGATTCGGTAATGTCAAATCGTGTCGTGTCCCTGCTCCATTTATAGCAGCCATTGTGTTTTCTCATGTCCCTTCTCCCAGTCCCTCTTCACCCATTCATCCATGCAATGACCTATCTGTGGCATGGCTTTCCCTCCCACATCTTTGCATTCCCGCTTCAGGCCTTTCCTTGAGGCACTTAAGAGAGTTAGCCGGATGCTAATCAGAGGGGAAATATTTATCTTATTAAGAAAAAAACCCGAAAACAACAACAAAACCCAAACCCAGCATCTTTTCTTATTAGTGTCGTAGCCAGCACTGTGACAAGAAGGAAGGGACGATTCTGTCTGAGGCTTTTGACATAATTAAAAAAAAGAGCAGTGAGTGTCATGATAAATAACAGAGTCACGTTTTTTCTGGTTTCATAAACATGGATCTGCATTAACTCTGATGTGAATTATGCAGAGCAGTCCTGGGATTTACACAGCAGTGTTGAGATCTCATCTCTGTAGACTGCTTCCAAGAGACAAAGCTCTTGCCACATCAGCAGGCTTTTAGAGATCTCTGTGCCTTTTCAGTCAACTGCACTTTCCTTTTCAAGCTTTCCTTCTTTTACCTGATTTAAAAAGTCACAAAAGGGCCACCCTCAGGGGACTGTATTAATCCTCTTTTCCCATCCCACTCTGTAGAGCATGCTAGTGGACTGCTGCAACCCTATGGGACTCTACTGAAATACTAAACAGCTCTGACGACATGCAGATTTAATCTTCCACTCTCTGCAACGCAGGCCTAGGACCACTTTCTGAAGGAAATCTCTTATGAGAAAGAAGGGCATCACAAGCACAAATTTCAACAGAAAGACTGCAAAAGGAAACCACCAATTACCACTTTGTTTTCTTTTTCCCTGGACATTTGTGGATCATTTTCATGAATATTTAAAAACATTTGTCCCTTTTGCAAAGCGTATTCATATTAAATGTACAAATCTATGAAGTCATCTCTTTGTATTTTCAGAGAAGGGCAAAAAAGGCACTGACTAGAAATCCAGGCAACATATATGTCCAAACTGGCCAGCTGCTGAATGTGTTAAGAAAACCCCATGCCAAACAAGCAACCAAGTTTTACACCGGCTGAGGAGACACATGTTCATGGCTGGAAGGTGCAGAGTAACAACTAGGGAGCAAGCCCTGTGTGGTCTGTTGCCATAGATGACCCCTTGCCAAGGCAAATTCTGTGCTACAAACAGCCAAGTGGGTGTCTGGTCAGTTGTTACCTGCAAAGAGCTCCCAAAGCCGTTCTGGGGACATGGTACCGTCCAGCAGAGCAAACAAGCAGTAAAGTTTGAGGCTGGACCTGAATTAGCAGACCTGGCTGGAAAAAAATGAGTCTCTTTCAGTGTGCCTTTTTTCTCTTGCCATCTCCTGTAAAGGCAGCTTACCTTGAATTGCAGACAATAAGAAAGAAACATGGGTTAATTTATTTCATCATCCTCTGCCAGAGCAAGATTGTTCCCTAAAGCATAATTTCTAGTGATTTGCTCTGCTTACCTTTAGAAGACCAAGTAATAGCCTTCATTCCTTTCATAAGAAGACTAATAGACATCAACAGTGGGATTTTTTTTGTTGAAAAGGAGCCAAATGTCTTTTCTTTTTTCTCCATTCTGTCTTGCTACTGTTAGTTAATCTTCTTGCAGCAGGCCTTGACTGTTTCTCTTCTCCTCAAGGCCCTCAACCTTGATTTGAGTCTTTCCTATTTCAGCCAACTTACAATATCTTTGTTATTTTAAATTAACCCACTAAGACAAGCCCCTGGCAAGGTAATATCTATGTAATATCTGTGTAAAAGGTAATACAGGTATCTTCTAACAACCAGGCATTTTACTGAATGGCAAGAAAAGGAAAACAAAGAGGTGATTAAGCCCATGCTTTTAAATGTCAGTTCTTTCCCAACCTTTTAAAAATGGTCATGGGGAATGGTGATAAAGGTTTGGACTAAGGTACTGGGAGACAAAGCAACTTTTTTCTTTCACCCCCACCCCCTTCACCCCCCACCCCCTCCCCTGCCCCCAGAAATAGTATTTTAAAACTACAGAGGAGCAGGGAGTGGCTGGGCATGTATAGAGTTAATCTGGTCTGCAGAATAGTTGAGAAAAATATCCACTGGTTTCTGAGGCCACTCGATTACCAGCCTAAGGTGGGAGAGCCTCCAGGGATTTAAAAACAGTCAATAGTGCTAAAAAAAAAGACAGAGCAAGCCTTTGGTTCTGGTTGTTATTAAGTTAGAGCAATAAGTCAATGTAGCTTTTCCATACCAGCACCGTCTTCAGACTTACATACACAAAGCTGATTCTGGTCTGTAAATGAAGCTGACTCCAAGTCTGCTCACTGTTACTCCTCTCCGTCTCTATTCTCTATCACTGCACTGGCTCCTGTAAGACTTCAGCGAGCCACAGGATTCATCAACTGGGCAAGTAGATGGGGGATGGTCATTGTAGCTAGGAGTTGATAGTTGCTTCCTAATCAGATGCCAGGGCCAATGGAAGGATGTTCCCTTGCCTCCTCTCTCAGCACAGTAAATGTGGTCATACCAGTACGGTTAGGAGGTACTCCAGGCATGCTACTGTCACCACATGGAGTGGGTACTCTTCCTACGGGGCTTCTCTTGGGAGAGTCCCTGACACCCCAACCTAGCATGTGAACAGTGTTGGAACAGCTGGAGCAGTATGGAGGATATTCTGCTGTGCCTGTGATCACTTACTTTAAAAATAAATAAGCCTGTTTAGCAGACAGATTACCAGCCACGAGGGATTATGAAGCCGAGTTACTTTGATTCATTAGAGTGTTCAGAGAGTTTGTGTAAGTTCCTGGAGGCTGTGTGGGATGGTCCTTAGCCATCCTCTTACTGTTACCTGATGGAGAAAGGGAAAGTTGGAAAGCACTTGTACTGAATTTGTTTCTCCCTATGTTTGGTAATAGATTTTGACAAGCTGTTTAAAGAACTGAGCCTACTGACTTGTGCTGTGCTTCCAACTCAGCTGCACATAGCCTTCTCTACTCTTTCCTCCCTCTCTATAATATTTAATCAACAAAGCCCTACCTCCATTTCCCTGAGGCCACAGTAATGCGTCTTTCTGCATTTAGAAAACTCCTACGCATGTGAATATGTCCTTTGTGCAGTGATGTTGTTTTAATTAGCCATGTCTCTTCTTGCCCAGAAATGCATGAAATGACTGTGTACAGTTTTCCTGCAGCCAAGAGGCAGCACAGCACCCTTGGTGCCCAGCGGCGGGTGGTGGGAGAGGCTGTGCTGGGAGCTGGTGGCTAAGATTGAAAGGGGAGAAGAGGCAAACTGTGTTCCTGGAGCTGGCAGGCGAAGGGAATCAAAGCTTGGGCAGGAGAGAGGAGGGCAGAAAAAGTAACCCTGGGAAACCCTGGGGAAAAGCAGGGTCAGAAGAGGTCAGAAAGCATGGCACAAAACATCCTCTTCGTAACAACCAACACGTTGTAGAAAAGAGCTAATTAAAGAAGGTAATGTTAGGACAAAACTGCTAAGACTATAATATGCTCAAGACCAAACTGTACAAAACTGGTTAAATGCTAGCATTACTGTCCTTGCCTTCAGCAAGACAGGTCTGTCCCAGGTCTGTCCCCCCTAATGCTACGTTCAAAGTAATAGATAACATGCTTATTCATCTTTTAGGCTTTTTCTCCTTAAAACTATGTACAGTATTTTCCACCTGAGTATCAGTCCATTCAAAAAGAGCTGGCTTAGAAACCACTGAAGTTAACACCTCTCAGAAGCTCCTGTGATATTCAGCAAATATCCTTTTCATCAGGGACTTACTCCATTTGTAGTGTTAGATTAGGAATTTTACTGAATATTCCTTAAATCCCCAGTTATGTAAATAATACTGATGGTAAGAAAAATATGTTGTTAATGACTAGATCAAACTATTAAATTGCATACCAATCACAGCTAAATCATCTATGCCTACACTTGGGTTCTGCAATGCCTCATCTTGAGCTTTATTGCTAGACAACAGTGCCTGTTGAAAAGGCTACAAGTCCCAGTTTGTGGCATTTCCATTTTGTCCATGTCATTGCTGTGGAGTGAATTTTGGGCTCCTCTCCTCTTGGTGGGAAGTGAAACACCCTGTGAAATGCTCTCCAAACAGCAAAGGAGGCTGGCAAAGCAGAAGAGAGCTCTCCTCTGGCTTTCAGTTCTGCCATAAGGAAAATGAACATAATCCTGACCCAAACTGTCATGTGATTTTTATTAGCTCTCTTTGGCTTGCAGCAATGACCCTGTGAATAATGTATGCTGCTAGATGGCTTTCCTAAGGAAAGAAGGCTTACGCAATCATAATGTCTGCCGCTACCTGCCTTCTACTTACCCCTTAATAACTCAGAAACCAGCTGGCCAATTTCAACCAAGTTTGAGGGAGGGAAAGTCGTCTTGAAGATAATTGTGTTAAGTAAAAAATAAAAAATGGGGACCATATAGGGAAGAGACCTCTTCATAGTGTCCTTAGGGAGGAACGTGAGCACAGTTCTCACACAGGTCTGAAGTGCCCCTCGGGTATTCAAGTCCAAGAAACACATTCATGGAAAATCAGTTTTCACTGTTTCTGCTGCTCATGCAATGACTTGTTTCTTCACAGATCACTCAGGGTGAGCCCCAGAAGTCATGCTCCAAGCCCGTAGCAGAGAAAGTCACAGAGAGCTGCCAGCAGATTTGCCAGTGCAGGTTACCGCCACTGTTACCACCACCTCCTCCACCTCCACCGCCCCCGAGGTTGCTAGTGGTGCCAAGTAAGTAGCCACTGGTACAGTTGTGGTGCACTGAGGGAGGGCGAAGCAATGGGGATGTTTGGACAGACGGAAGGAGAAAGGATGTGGGAGAGGACACAGCTAGCTTGTCTTTCATTTTCCACTTAGCAAATGAAAATGTTCTCAGTAGAGATGGCGGTTTGTTTTCTGATCAATGAATAATGCTTGGCTTTTGGAGGAAAACCAACGAAATTCCTTCTTTCACTGTATTATATATGATTCCCTGGCTTTTAGGGTTCTCTAATACCCTAGCCCTGGGAAGTACTTTGCTACAGAGATACAGCACTGGCTTCCCCTTGAGGTACCTGGCCTCCTGTTTTGCCAGGTGTGCAGCTTGAATGGGTTGGTGGTCCAAGGCAAACGAATTTGTAAGCAGCAAATATTCAAACACTCTGACTAGACCGTCCTGCACGTTTGGCTGTCTTTTGAGACATTGGAGCTCTACTGTTTTACTATAGCAGTGAGTCACATGCACTGATTTTACATTGCTTGCAACTAACAGAAGTCAGAGGCATGGCGGTAGTCAGTGGCAAGTAAGCAGTTTTCACACTAATGCATATACAGGCTAAGAGTCATCTATTGCTCTTCATACAAATCAGTGCTCTCAACCTTTATCCAGCCCACCCGAGCTCCTCCTAATTTCCAGCTGTGCATTCCCATGTCCAACACACATTGTGCCTGCAGTTCCTGCTGGCTAGCTGTGCCAGTTTTCTTCCACATCAGTATTCCTGTGATCCCTGACACACAGATCCTTTCTGGAGAGTGGTAACTATGCCAGTGGTCCCACGAGAAACAGTTCCTCTGCAGTGCAGGGCTGGGTGCAGGGATGTGGGCTGAACTTTGCACAGACACTTTCAGGTCCCGGGTGTTTGGTATTCCAGCAAATCTCCTTAATGTCTCTGTATTTTCACAAATTGGTCTCTCCCTAAAAGGCTGCCTATTAATTCTTCACTTTGCTTAGATAAACTCCCCTGGGAACAGTGTTGCAAAATGTATCTAGCATCCTTCTCAGCGCTTCCACAAGGGAAAATAAATCATTAGGTAACATCATTCAGCTGTTTGTCTTTATTAGCATTATCTCCAGATGTGCAGAAGACACGAAGAAAGCTTCTGCACAGCTTTTAGGACATTCAGAATTTGCAGTGTGTTTTCTCTCAGGAACGTGCTTCGTATTTGTGCCATGATGCAGAAATTTAAGGCTGAGGCCAGAAAAAAATAACAGTGAAACACTTGGGAAAGGAAGTACAAAGACAGCTTGGAAAGCAGAGATGAAGGTTATTTATAGCAGGAAAAATCTCTTTCAATGTTCAGCAAAATGTCATGAAAAATAATATTGAATATTCCCTTGATCTTTGTCTCACAGTCAGAAAATCATGTACTTTGCCAGTCTTTTTTCTTGTATCTGGGGTACCCCGTTGCTGTGAGGGAGCTGTGTGGCAGAACAACGTTGGCACAGGGACCAGCCCTGCTGCTCAGCTGTGCTGGAGGAGGCCACCACTGCAGGCTGCCTCCCTCCCTCCCTGGGCTGCCATGAGGCAGCTGCTCTGAGAGTGTGGATTTGTCTCCTGTGAAGTGGGAAGGAAATCATACCAGAGAAAAAGAATTCTGTCATGCGCTGCAAAAAGAGAAAAGATAAATCAAATGGGCCTGCCACTGGGGTAGCCTGGTGCTTACTCAGGCTGGATTGCCAGGTGCTAACCCAGTTCTAGAAATGAGCTATATAAATCCAGATGACTAATATTTAAATAAGTTATTTCATTTTCAATGCAATGTAAAAAAAAAAAAAAATAGATTACACATTCCTTTCACCAGTAAGCTTTAGAGTAGCAATCATGTGCCTCATCTTGAAAGATGCTTTCATTATTATCAGTTGTCTAGGCACTGTGATTTAGCCCACATGTACAGCAATCCCCATCCTTGTGAGAATGAGCAAGCCTCATGGTTAAATATTGATGTTACAGACACCACTTTTACACAGCACTCAGAGGAGAGAGCAGTAAAGGGACAAGACAAGCTATTATTAAGTGGTTGATACCAGACTTGCACCTCGCACTATTTAAGTGATTGAAGTACTAGAAAGACATCTGTAAAAAGCGGTGGCCCAGGAGCTGCAATTTTTTTGCCTTTATGAGATACAGCGTATGTGCCATGAGGCACTGCATAAAGATGCTGGCATTGCTCTTTCAGCTTTGTGAGCCACAAAAGGCTGCAGCCTGCTAGGTACTGTCCTTAGAAGCTCTTTTGGGAATCAAACTGAATGTTGTTGGAGGTTTAGATCATCTGTACATCCTTCTAAAACAGGTACTCTGGTTTGGGCCTGATGATTAAAGACAATAGATTAAAAAATTCCTGTCTATCCAGTTACTACAGACACTGACAGCTCAGTTATCTGCTAAATGAAGTCATCTGGGATTCTTCAGTGTGTGTCCTGTCTGGTCTCCAGCTGCTGCTATAGAAGAGCATGAGACACTCTTTGTGTCCTCTCTCAGTCCCACCTGAATGTTTTGCAAACCCTTGTTGGATGTATGGGATGGTACTAGGTAACTGTTTATGAGTAGCTGAATGACTCCCTGAAAGGATGTTATTGTTCCTGGGAACTTTCGGGAGAAATTACAGTGCATTTAGTGCATCTTTAGACATTTTGATATTGACAGATTGATCCGGCTACAAATCTTTAGCTCTGCTTCCTGCAGATAGATAAATACAAAATCTGTCAGATGTGAACTCCAAAATCCATGAATAATAACTGATAAATGTTGTGTGTACTTTGGTGGACAGTAAGCTAATTCTCTCCACAGAAAATGAGTAGAATCACACACAACTTAGCAGTCAGTCTAAATACATGAGTGGTGGTAGAAACACCAACTTTCAAAACAAATGGTGAGCCATCTCAACATTACAGTCATGTATTTACAACAGGAATGTGTGGAGGTGTGTTTCAGTGCACCCTAAGGAAGCATATCCTTCATACAACAATGTGAATATGGGAAATTAAATTAGATCATGTGGCCCATGTATTTCCAAATATCGACAACAAATAATGGTCTGGTGAATTCAGAGACTGCCTCTGTCACCAGAACTCCAGGACCCAAGGGAGAAAGCATAGACTGCTTTTGTCCTCCTTCAGCTATACCTCAGACCTCATTTTCCCATGTTTCTAACTCCTTTGCACAAACCACTGGCATTTCTGATGACCCTTCCAACCACTGTTCTTGCCTTCACTGCATCCAATATGTAGCTGTTATGGGACTTTCCCTCATCACAGCATATCCATGTGCATCCACCTCACTAAGCAGAGGACTCCTGGTCTGCCCCAGTGAATCCATCTGCTTTATGGTGTCTAAATGAAGGCTAGGATCAGCCACACTGGTCCGTGTGAATTGCTAGTTCAGCCTTGCCTTTTTGTGTGAAGTGGGACAAATGGAGCATTTCAGTTTTGAGTTTCCCAAGATTCTTTTGAGATGCAGCTTGTTAGCATCCTGCTGAGATACTGCTGTCTTGTTTGGCATAGATGTGTACCGTTATTGAGGGTCTTCGATGAGAGGGGCTCCAGCCCATGGTAGAAGTAACTAGGATGGTGGGGACTGTCAGGAGACTTGGTCACTGACCCAGTTGTGGTTTCTCCAGACTGTCTGGCATATTGATGTTTCTGCAGTAACTCTTCTTATGCAAGCAGCAGCCTGCCCTTTAACATGTACCTAGAAAACTGCTCATTGATGTAGTGAAGGGAAAGCTCATGAAGGTTTGAAGGGCTAAGGCCAAATAAGCTTAAATTCTGACAGCAAAGAAAGAAGGAACCTTAAATGAAATTGAGTCTGTTCCCTAGATGTGGCTGTAATGACCTGAGTGGAGATAAAGAACCTGGCCTTTAATTAACTTTGTCTTTCTCCTCCTGCATTTGCTTTCCTCCTTGTCTCTGGATTTCAGCCAGGACTAGAGCAAGGTGGATAGAGTACTTGTTTAGGCAGCATTTCAAACCCAACTTCACCGACCCATGACATTAAGCTAGTGTTGACCCTTCAAAATGTAAAGTACTGCTGTTGTCAACCATTAAATAGTTTGTGAGCACACAGGTTTCTCCAGGGGCATTACAAAGAAGAGAGGAATTTGTTTGGAAGCAGAAGCTAGGCTTTCAAAACAGGAAAGGGTTAAAGATACACAACACTGCAGCAACTGTCAGTTGTAACTTGTGGAAGGTTTGGGGAAAAAACATTTCAGAAGTGACTTCTTCAAAATCGTACAAGGAGGAGAAAGGATGTTTAGCATGAACTCCTTGCTTGCTGGGTACCAGCATTTGCTGTCTCTGTTCTACCCGTCTCCCACATTAGGTGAAGAATCCGTGGTACTGCCATCTGTTATCTGGGTGATGGAGGTGCCCAGTCAAACATTGCTTCGGTCAAAATTTAGAGGAGGAAACTTAAATAAAAGTTTTTATCTAAGATCGTTACAAGCTGTGCTAGTATTGCTGAGTCTGGATACATGCACCAACCTCTGGCTTGTTGGATGCTTGCACAAAGGTACACAGTGAAGTCTTTACAGCTCCTGACCTCAGTGCAAGTTTGCCCTGAGCTATCAGTTGGGATAAAGCACAATCAAGTCAGTGCAAAGCCAAAGTGAATGACATCACTGCAGAGGATCTTATTTCCAGGCTGTAATTGTATGATTTTGTTTTCCAAGGTGAAATTTTTATCTTTAGAGAGAGTGCATCTAATTAACTAATTATTTGGGCTGGTGAAAATTCCAAAGTAAAAATGGCCAACTGCAGGAAGGGTGAAACTTTCTGGCAGCTACATAAGCACAGATGTACAGCTTAATTTCAGAAAATGGGCAGTGTCCTGTCAGTGCAAGTAGGAAAGATAAGGATATTTGGATCTTTCAGGATAGATGATCACAATATGTGTATATATATAGGCAGGAATCTGAAGTACAGGAACAGTCTGGAGCTTGTTAAACTTTGAGTAGGTTTTAAAGCAACTAAAATG